TACATGCTTCGTAGTGTAGTTTCTACATACTACTGTTTTTTATTAATCTTTTAGATCTTATTTTGGCGTCTTTTTTAAAATTTCATTATATTACTTGATATCAAATTAAAAATCTTTTTAGGGATATTATAGTGTTTTATGCATTTTATCTTATAATTACTAATAAACTTACTAGCAATAAATTAAAATCCTACTTAGTAACCAACTAGGCTTTTTAGTACCCCTCAATTCTCTAGTGTTTTATTGGTGCATCTTCTGTCTTCTTTGGATTCATTTTTCATAGTTTCTTATAGCTTCGACTATAGATGATTTCTTGAGGTCATGTCCTTCTTTTAGAGCCCATGGGGCGTATAGGGGGAGGGCTCGACAGAGTGGTGACAAGGAGACTAGACTTAGAGTTTGCTCGTTGAATGTAGGCACATTAAATGCTAGGCTGCTGGAGCTGACCGACGCACTTAATAATAGGAAAATAGATTTTGCATGTATTCAGGAGACTAGGTGGAAAGGGGCTCGCGCCAGAGAGTGTAATGGGTACAAGTTGTGGTATTCAGGCGTAAATAACGCTAGAAATGGGGTGGGTATCTTGGTATCCTCTAGGCTCAAGGAAAATGTAGTTGAAGTTTGTAGATACCGGGATAGGATCATGATGCTTAAGGTTATTATAGAAGAGGAAGTGGTGAATGTCCTTTCAGTGTACGCCCCATATGTTGGCCTAGGGGAGGGGGAGAAACGTTGCTTCTGGGATCAGTTAGATGATGTACTTAGGAGCATTCCGGAGGACCAAAGAGTTTTCATAGGGGGAGACTTCAATGGCCATATAGGTAGTACAACCGACGGGTATGACGGTGTTCATGGGGGTTTCGGTTATGGTAGCAGGAACGATGAGGGGCGTACGTTGCTTGAATTTGCTACTGCTCACGATTTGGTGGTTACTAACTCCTTATTTAATAAGAGAGATGCGAACTTGATTACGTTTCATAGCGGGGGACATTGTACCCAAATCGACTACATCTTGGTTCGAAATCGGGATCGATGGGCTTGCATTGACTGTAAGGTGTCCCCTGAAGAGGCATGTGCATCGCAACACAAATTGTTGGTTTTGGTGTTTCGCGTACCGCACGGGCAAAACACTCATAGGAGGGCTAAACTAGGTAAACCTAGGATCCTTTGGAAGAAGTTACATGGAGCGACAGCTGATGACTTTAGGAGTAAGGTTTTGTCTAATACAGGTTTTGGAACTACAAACTCAAATAATGCAGATTTGTTATGGAAAAATATGGCAAATTCCATCAGAGAGGTGGGCAAAAAAACCCTGGGGTTGCCGACAGGGAAGGCCAAGGAACATAAAGAATCGTGGTGGTGGAACGACGAAGTCTAAACTAAGGTGAAGACAAAGCAAACTTGCTTCAAGGAGTTTTTACAATGCAATGACGACGAAGAAAGGTCGAGAGCTAAACAAAGATACAAGGAGGCAAAGCGGGAAGCCAAGAAAACGGTGGCTAAAGCAAAGGATAAGGCATTCGAGGAAATGTACAAGAGATTAGACACCAAGGAAGGACAAAACGGCATCTTTAGGCCTTCAAAATCTAGGGAGAATAGGAAAAAGGATCTAGGTAGCATTAGATTTATTAAGGACAACAATGGTGTTCTTATAGCGAAAGATCATGATATTAAGAGGGTTTAGGGTAGTTACTTCTTTGGTTTATTTAATGACGGTGTCTCTCCCTGTAGAGATAGTACCGTTGATGGGTCATCCGACCATCATACTTCGTCCAATGACTGCCCTACAAGTAGGATTGGGTTTGAGGAAGTCAAAATGGCTCTTAGAAAGATGGGAATGGACAAAGCTGTCGGTCCTGATCAAATTCCTATCATTGTGTGGTTGGCTCTAGGAGAAGAGGGAGTTAAGTGGTTGACCAATATCTTTAATATTATTTTAGAGACTGCCAAGATGCCAGAGGAGTGGAGAGAGTCCACGATGATACCAATATATAAGAAAAAAAGGAGATCCCCAACGTTGTGGTAACTACAGAGGTATTAAACTACTCAGCCATACCATGAAGCTATGGGAAAGGGTGATAGAGGCTAGGTTGAGACAAGTTACTAGGGTTTCGAAAAACCAATTTGGCTTTATGCCAGGTAGGTCTACCACGGAGGCGATTCATCTACTTCGACGACTTATGGAGAAATATAGGGAAAAGTCTAGAGATCTTCACATGGCGTTCATTGGCCTTGAGAAGGCTTATGATAGCGTTCCCCACGATACGATCTGGAAGACTTTGAAAACGAGACGGATCCCAACTATTTATATCCGGGCGATTCGTGATATGTATTGTAGATCTACTACATACGTCAGGACTACAGTTGGCGACACCGAGGCATTCTCGGTGGAAATCAGACTCCACCAGGGGTCGGCTCTTAGCCCTTACATCTTTGCCTTGATTATGGATGACATCTATTGTGCGACACCAGACGGTGTACCATGGTGTATGCTTTTCGCTGACGACATTGTCCTAGTTGCTGAAACAAAATCTGAGTTGAATAGTAGACTGGCTACCTGAAAGACTGCTTTGGAAGAAAAAGGTTTAAGGATCAATATTGATAAGACAGAGTATTTATGTTCAAACTTCAGTAGGGACCAAAACGAAGAAGATGTAGAAGTATTCATAGAAGGACATGTTCTCCCCTTAAAGAATTGTTTCAAGTACCTAGGGTCTATGATACATAAAGATGGGGGTGTAGATGATGACGTTACACACCGTATAAAGGCGGGATGGCTAAAGTGGAGGGCCGCTACTGGAGTTTTGTGTGACAAGAAGGTGCCTCTAAAACTTAAGGGAAAATTTTATAGAATGGCAATAAGACCAGCACTGTTGTATGGATCAGAATGTTGGGCAACCAAGAAGGATCATGTAAGGAGGATAGAGGCCGCAGAAATGAGAATGTTTCGATGGACATGCGGTAGGACTCTGTAGGATATGACAACAAACTCTGCTATTAGGATGTCCTTGGGGGTGGTGCTTGTTTCCGAAAAATTGAGGGAATGAAGACTACGGTGGTTTGGGTATGTCCTTAGGCGACTATCGTCAGATGCGGTCAGGAGGGTAGAGTCGATTACAGTCGACGGTGCCAGAAGGAGAGGACGACCAAGGCGGAAGTGGGAAGACTGCTTGAGATCTGATTTGATGGATTTAGCCCTTACCGAGGACATGACCTCTGATAGGAAAGTATGGAGACTTAAGACTAGGATAGTCGAGTAGTGTAGGTCACATCTCTAGGGTGTATCATCTTTGTCTTCTTTTAATGCCTTTGTAGTAATTTCCATGACTTCTACTTTTTATTCGTTTCTGTTATTGGTATTTATGAAGGCTTAGAACTGGGCTTGCTATCGTTTGACTTCTGTGTATCATTCTCTCCACTTTTAATTTTAGTCAAGTCTTACGTTTCTGTCTATATACAGAGATTTTTTCGCAGGAATTTTTTTGCAGGGATTACTGCCCATTACAGACGCGCATATGATATTAATGATATTAATAACTGCATATAAATACTGTTCAACTATGTATTTTTGTATTTATTTATACATGCATTGCATTTTATCTATATTTTTAATTTTCTGACTGCCGGAGGTCTTCCACGGAAGCTACTCTCAACCTGGCGTTGGGGGCAGCCTACTACCCTACCTCCCCCTTACCCCATTGCATATGGGAATTGGGTTTTGTTGTTGTTGTTGTTGTTGTAATGTTGGTTGTCTGACTAGGAAGGTGCACTACAGCAAAACAAGTATATAGCGGCGTTTGACGCGGCGTTTTCAAAGCAAACGCCACTAAATTTGTACATATAACGACGTTTATATCCAAAACGCCACTAAATGATAACATTAACGGCGTTTTTCAATAAACGCCGCTAAAACTCATACTTTAGTGGCGTTTTTAAACAAATGCCGCAATAGGGTACATATATTGTGGCATTTTTAGATAAACGCCGCTAAAACCTAGTACTTTAGAGGCGTTTTATGCAAAAACGCCGCTAAAACTCATACTTTAGTGGCGTTTGTAAACAAACGCCGCCATAGAATCGTTCTTTAGTGGCGTTTTTAAACAAACGCCGCAATAGGGTACATATACCGTTGCGTTTTTAAATAAACGCCACTAAAACCTAATACTTTAGTGGCGTTTTATTCAAAAACGCCGCTAAATACTCATACTTTAGTGACGATTTTAGACAAACGCCGCTAAAACCTAGTACTTTATTGGCGTTTAACCATTAACCCTTTCTCATTTTTCCCCCTTAACATATTTTTTCATTCCCGCCGTTTACCCAAACCCATATGATGCTTCTTCGCCAATCTCACTTTAAACAACGCGAAACAATTGGGGGAATTGAAACAGTGGGAATATGGGGGAAAAAACTGTGCAGGTGAAGATGAAGTGGAGCTTTCAGGGAGAGGTTGAATTCAGGAATTGGGCTAACCGTCTCGGGTGTGATTGGGACATCATGCAGCTTTCAAAACTTAAAAAATTAAGCAGTAAGCGGGCTTGTTTTTTTTTCACTTGCTTTAACGTAGCTTGTAATCGTGGTCTTGCTGCCACTCCAGGCTTTGCCTCCTCTGCATCATCACACTCACACTCACACTCAAGTGTGGTCAAATTCATTTCTATTTGAATTTCTGAGATTTACCCAAATTTTTATATCATCCATTTCCAGTTCTAAGATACTATCTCGTTGTTTTCGCTCTATTTCACGTATTCCAGGAAACTTAATTCCCAACACAATATCTCATTACACACCCAAACCCCAAAATAATATCCCTTCTCATAGAACCACAACGATTTTTACTTCTGTACCACATACTGTACATTTTCTAGGTAACGCTGTTTCTCCTGTATGCTATTCTATATTTTGTTTACCCCAGTGACCATAATTGATTCGCTTGGTGATTGATTGTAGTGGGGAAAACAAGCTGTGTTGCTTCTCTTGCTGTAAAATTTGCAGACCATGGCCACCCTACCATTGTGATCTCAACTGATCCTGCTCACTCCTTAAGTGACTCTTTTTCTCTGGTATCAATAAATGTTTCTGTTTTTTAACTCTAAACAGAAAATGCTCAAGAATGGAAGTTAGTTTGTGGGACCCTTCTTTAACCATCTGCTTTGTTCATTATCTCAAGGATTTGGCAGGAGGGAATCTTGTTTCTATCGATGGACTGAATTCTCCTTTGTTGGCTCTTGAGGTATATGGTATAAGGTTGAATTTTTCTACATTAGCTCATCATGTGATGCACATTTTTAAACCTTAGCAATATAACAGATAAATCCAGATAAAGCCAAAGAGAAATTTCAATTTGCAAGTCAAAAGAATGGTGGTAGTGCTGTCAAAGATTTTATGAATAACATGGGCCTTGGGATGCTTGCTGATCAGGTGGATACAAGTCTTTGCACACTTATCAACCCGTTGCATTAAATTTAGAACTTGTGACTTTCATTCTGTTAATTATCATCAATAATGGAAGAAGAATCTGTTAAAACTTATTTTATGTCTGATGATATTTTGATAATTTTTAGTAGCTACTGGCGTGCGAACAGAATAATGGTCAAGGAATGGACTTGTGTCATAGCGCTGATTTGATTTACACTTTTGCTTATAGTTTTCTATTCTAACCAGGATTTTGAATGTGGACTTAGTTCTGGTTCCTTGAAAGCAATTTAAAGATTCCGAACGATATTGAAACATTTATTAGCTCCCTAGGCTGCATTCTGGCCCATGTATATCCCCCTTGTACCTAGTTCTGATCCATTTTGCCCTTTCCCCCCCTTAACCTACCAACTTTATTTCAATTTTGTTTAAGATTTGTTCATTCATTGTTGTACCTGACATTTTTTGGTTACTACTTTAATGTTGGGGGATCTAAAACTTGGAGAGCTGTTGGACACCCCTCCGCCCAGGTTTAGATGAAGCTATAGCAATTTCCAAGGCATGTACATTCTTTGATCCGTTTCTAATTACTTTTAGTGTTTTATGCTTACCTTCATTTGAGACTGTTTTTTATCCTAACCCTACAGTTGCTTGTAGGTGATGCAATTTCTTGATCTGGGTATATTTCTTTTCTCTTGTTTATTCTTTATTTTGCCTTTTTCTTTTGGTTTTCTGATCTGGGTACTTCTTGTTTTCTCCTTTTGGATTGATTATTTGATTTATTTGATGATTTTATGGGTTTTTTTAATCCGGGTAAGTTATCCTTCTTGCTCTTGACAATTATTACATTTTATATGCCATACAGGTTGGGCAGATATGCTGTTGAATCTTACTTGGAACAAATTTTGTCTCATGGGTTTTTCCATGCTGAACCAGTAAGATTTTATGTTTATACAAATACCTTGGATGCTCAAGATATTCGAGTTTATTTGTGGAAATGCTAGGTGAAGGGGCATGGGTTGCTTATTATGTTTTGCACTTAAAATTGTAGCATATATATCATTTCATGCCGTAGTTTCAAAGGAATGGTGTGCTTTTCATTTCATATATCTAGTATTTCCTTTTAGAACTAAAATGTGTTGTAATTGGCAGTTACCTGCTTGATATAATTATTTTCTCAGATTACAAAATCAACTTAGTGAGTTCCTCATTGCATAATTTTTCTTTGCTAAGCAAGAAAAGGTTTATGATACAACTATAAACCTAAATTACTGATATTAGAAATTGTTCTGCAAAAAAAATGGTGTAGCCTATTAGTATATTCCCATAATTAGGAGACTTCTTGTAGCCTATAATACCTTTTTTAGGTATCAAGACCAATAGCTGTAGTAGAGATACATAAGCTGTAGTTTTCTATTTCCATTGACAAATGAGGAAAAGATAGAGAAAAAAAAGGAACGCCTGGCTGCAATCAGTAATATATTTTATGCTTTTTATCTTTATAAATGTAAACTAAGGTTTTACACTCTTGAATGCATCAATAAGGATTTAATAATGCGCCAACTAACTCGGCAAAGAGGACATGAGACCTTTTCATATTCTTCAGTGGGGAAGACTCACTAAGCATCTAATAGGTTAATTTGTTTTGCAATTTATTTGACATTTATAATACGTGGACATACATAAATAAGCAATCAGAGGAAAAAGATAATGTCAGCTTTGTTACTAGCAGATCAGTTTAGAAAAAAAATCAGTGTTATGTCTTATGAAAATGTTGCCTCCCTTGCAAGCTCTGGCCTTTTCTCTCTTGACACGAAAAATGTTTTTCATGTACACATTACTTGTGGTTCACTACTGAAAGCACTTGAAAACTTGAGTTGTCTTCCTTTATATGAGGTTCAGTTAAAAGTCCTTAGAAAGACCTTCCTCTTTTAAGGTTGAACTATTTTTCTTCTGATATATTGATTTCCATTATATCCCTTTGAGTCAATATTTAGCTGTTTACCCTTTCATTTTTTCTTTAGTGGGTTACTTCTTCTCATTAATTTTACATTACATGAACAGGGGAAGATTTATTAACCATTGCAGCAGATCAACCCTTTCGATTCCCTGCCACATTCACATTTGTTGTCAGATCATTTTCAGGTAATACATTAACCTGGTGGCTTCATTTATATTTGTGCTGTATTGAACAAGAACTTAAGCACAACGTATTATTTCACATGCAGTATTAGATGGCATAGGGAAGGGCCTTGATCCTCTATTTAACATAATTGAGATTGCAAAACCGTGAGTGTGGTTTTATCTCTTTAAGATCCTTATAATTTTTACTTACCTTATTATGGTTTAGTCATTTATTTTGTCTGTATATCTGATTATATTGCACTTTATTGCTTCTAGCTATGCACTAGAGTTGTTAAGATTCCGTGAAGCTGGAGTTGAAGTTGCCTTGAAGGTAATATTCTAATCTTCGATTCTAGATTTAATTGTATTTTTCATGATAAAGTTCCATTTTCATGATAACCTATATAAATATTTCAGGACTTCAGAAAGACATGGGACAGACAGCCCCGTGCATTCTATAACTTATTTGGGCAGGCAGATAGAGTTGAGAAGGTTGCTGAAACCATCCAAAGATTGGTAGGGTTCGAGATTCCTATAATACATTTTGAAAGGTTAAAATAGTTGTTGTGTTAAACTGTTGCAAAATGCTGCATATTACAGGAACAGGGTGATCTGAAGCTTAGAGTGCAGACTTTGGAAGCTGAAAGGGCTTTCCAACGTGTTGATGTTGTTCAGAAGACAATAGGAAGTGTGAGTTAAATTTTATAATTATATATATATAATTTTTTTCTTTTTATCTAATTTTATAGTTTGGTATATGTTTTTAACCATGAAACCATTTAAAATTCCTTTAAACATTATTTTGCACTGCTGAATTATTGGCTTTCCCATATTTCCAAGTGGATGCAGGAAGTTTCTTTTTCTTTGGGTAACATTAAGTTCTCTTATATGCATCCTTCCATAGGTTGGCAACTTGTTAGCTAGGGATGTAGGCCCCGCATGATCCCCTTCCCCTACTGTACTTGCATTCCCTTGGCATTCTGTTCTAATGGAGCATTCTAGAGAAATTCGAAAGTGATGGGATTTTTGACAATGGAGTTCACGAGTTGCATGATGTGCATGCTTTTCATGTAATCGTTGTAATGGTTTTAATGGTACCAGTGAAAATCTGGCTTAAAGAAACTTAAAAAGGATGCAATATAATATATATATCATATATTACTAGAATTGAAGGGTTTTATAGCTCACTGCATTTGGCTGTTTGTATACATTACTTCATATTCATGATTTTTAGGGCATGATGTTATAAGTGCAAATTTGTGATTTTGTTCATAGATTTTGAAGATTAATTTACATCCAAGGCTCTACTTTTGAACCTAATGTAAAACAAGCTAATTGTATACCATTTCTGAAACTAAAACAAATGGCAAAGTTGGGGTAAATATAAGCCAAGATTTATGAGGAATACAAGATTAAGTAGGGTCATGAATTCTTAAGGATTTCAGTTCTCCCTAGCTTTCCAAATATTATCTGTTAGTGCAATTACCCAGTTGGTTTTTTCCTCTATGTTGATGAAAACAAGTTTTCTTTGCAGATTCTGAAGGATTTTCTGTTATGGGTTGACAAGGATCTTGGACCTTGGGGTCCACTTGTGATGTAAGTCACATTGAAATCCTCCTGTAATTTCTTTACACTTCCATTAGCATCTATTTTTTTGTTTACTTTATGCATTGCATTTGATTTGATATTGTACCAATCTAATAAACGAAATATATATTATTCATTGCTGTCAAGACATTTTTCAACTGAAAGCCACTGTTAAGGTATTTTATAGTGTACTGGTTCATTAAAATAAAGAAATATGCATTTCAACGCAGAAGAGAGTGTGTATACATTCTGTCCATCTCTCTTATTAATAAATATATGTGCATCAATAACAAAATGGTTCAACGAGAACTAGATGGAAATCGATGTTTCAAGTGATGAGCATTGACTTTTTATTTACTTCCTAATCTTTCATAATCATAATTAATTATAGTTAATTTTGGTAAGTAGCTGTATTTCATAATTTTCATTTGATATTATATTAAAACAAGAAATTGTAAGATTTATTTTATCTTCTTGTGGAAAATTCACCATTAACAAAGGTAGCAAACCTTGTATATGACCGATAATTTTAGGCTTTCGACTAACTATGTAAATTATACAATTTGATTCAACTAACTTTTGTCAAACTTCCTGTTCTAGGACATGGCAGGGTTGATAGGCCATGAATTGGAGATTAAGCTTGAGGAGTACAGTAGTGGGCAGCCTCCAAATGTAACACATTTCTTCTTTCCCCTTTTCTGTATGACGAGAACTTTGAGTTTTATCACTAGTTCACTACTAGTGATGGTTGTAAATGGTCTGTTTGTGTGGTATATACTACAAATTGTTCTTTCCCATCTTAGGTGTTATTATTGTTTATTCTAGTTAACAATGTTGAATTACATTATATTTTACATAATTTAAACTTTGATTTATTATTATGGATTTCAAGTTTCTTGTTATGGATTTCAAGTTTGTTGTTATGGATTTCAAGTTTGTGTCTTAATTAAAATTTATGGTTGTTAATTAGATAAAGCTAAATGATATTAAATTTAGGTGTTGTAGAGCATAAATTAAATATGCAAAAATCAATTAATATTAACTAATGAAAGGTAATTAGTGACGTTTGTATAGAAAAACGCCGCTATAAATCTCAACCTTTTGCGGCGTTTGTTCCAAAAACGCCGCTATAGATATGACCTTTTGTGGCATTTGTTCCAAAAACGCCGCTATAAATCTCGACTTTTAGCGGCGTTTGTTCCAAAAACGCCGTTATAGATCTCGACCTTTTGCGGCGTTTGTTCTAAAAACGCTGCTATAAATCTTGACCTTTTGCGGCGTTTGTTCCAAAAACGCCGCTATAGATCTCGACCTTTTGCGGCGTTTGTTCCAAAAATGCCGCTATATATCTCGACCTTTTGCGGCGTTTTTTGTTCTCAAACGCTGCTAACTTTAGCGGCGCTGGTATTGTCGGCGCTTCTTGCGGCGTTTTTTCTATCGCCGCGATTACTTTTAGCGGCGCTTAAAAACGCCGCTGGTGATCTGGAGAAATGAGAGAAAAAGAGTGAAAAAGATGATGAAATTGGTTGGCGGGTATATTTATCCCAGTTAACAAGCAGTAGGATGACTGGTATCAGTCTTAAGATTAATGACTATTGATGGTTCGACAGATAGATAGATCCAACTACCACAATAGATTTAGTTGACAATAGGTTTCACAGTATCACACCAAAAGACTATAATCAAGTGGAAGAAATAGCAGGATTATGTCCAAGTTGATTTGCGGGGAGGTATAACACCAACAATACTTAGCAAGAAAACTTGATTAATAACTGGTCGTAGGATTGAAACATTCCTAGGTTACTTTCACGCAATGCTGTTAGATGCTTAACCTTATGCTAGAGAAATTAAAAAACCCAGAATACTGCCTAGATGATAATGTTGAATGTGTCTTAAATGTAATCCGATGCTGAAATTCTTGATTCCTTCTTTGGATTTGGATCCTTAGCAAGTAATGAAGCCTCCAGAATAATCTTCCACTCAATCCCTTCATTTCATTAATAATTGTTATCTTGATCTTCGGCAACTCGAATAATTTGCTTAACCATTTGAATGATATTACTAGATTAAGTGGGTTACATAATGTTAGGTATGGCTCATAAATATACTGGTAAAGAGGACAGTGGCTCCTAAACCTATGGGACATTGAATAAAACTTCTAACGCCGCCTAGGCACCGAGGTAATAAACACATTGCTGAACCTCATTAAAAATTCTTGTGATATTCTGTTTTATTTTCCGATTCTTCAACACAAAGTGAAAAATTCGAATTCTTCTGTGGGATATGACGATAAATGCCTTATGTCTCCTCTTTCACTTACCATCTGTAATCATTTAATTCCATACTTAGCTTCGGTTTCAAGCCAAATTCACTTCATCCTTATTAAAAGAAGCAAGAATCTGGGCTTTCAAGTTTTATAAAACACCAGTTCAGATGGTTTCTTTATAGACCATTGAAAAGAAAAACCGACCAACACCATGAAATACAATTAGATTTCTCATTTCAGCCACCCCCCAACACATTCTAAAATTTGAGTACACTGAACTTCCATTCAAGTGTGATGGGTGCAAAGAAGTCGGCATAGGCTCACGTTATCTATGTTCCTTCTGCGATTTCGATCTCCACATGCACTGCGCCGTACCGTCTATTTTGATTTCTCACCCTTTCTACCCAAAATGTTCCTTTCAGTTCCTCTCAAGGCCACCTGGTGACACTCCTCGCTATTGCAACGCCTGCGAAAAGGACGTTAGCGGCTTCGTTTACCATTGCGAATCGTGTGGATTCGATCTACATCCATGTTGCGCAAAGCTACCAATGGTGTTAGATGATGGAGAAGTGAAACTGTATCTTTATAGGAAGGTGAGTTCACCGTGTCATCGATGTGGTCGAAAAGGGAGGAGCTGGAGTTACCGATCGGCCTGCAAAAAATACAACTTGCATGTGGCATGTGTTAGGGAAATGTTGGTGGAGAATTGGCATGAATTGTACTTCGGAGATGGTAAAGGTTGCGGGAATCGAATTCCGAGCTTGAAGAACACACTTCAAACCAGTCATAAAAGGAGTAAAGGTAAGGTTAAGAAGTGTTGTGAATTGGCTGCTTTTGCTTTGCAATTTGTTATCTCAGCTGTGCTTGGTGATCCAACCGCTCTTATTGCTGGGGTTATTGCAACTTTTATGTCTAGAGCATGAAAATGTTGTCTCGTTGATGCAGTTAAAGGTAGTTTTCTGTAAAATAAAACATAAAAAGATTTACTTTCACAACGTTTACTTTAGTTTCTGTTGTAAAAAAATCCTAAATTCTATTTTATTTTCAAGTTTCGTTGAGTTGTAAGTCGTTTTAGGAACCTAATTTGCATCATTGCTTGTATAGGTTTCTACAAATGATGACAGTTTTGTAAATTGTAATCACCATTATTCAACACTCAAACATATAATTGAGTGGTGGGGTCAGACCCATCTATATACAAATCTATGTACAACTATGGTATGTGACAAATCACGTGACTTCAAAATTTAAGTACCACACACATGAATAACATCTAGATACATTTATATCTGTG